CCCCTTAGGGAAGTGGATCACATAACAAAACAGCCCAAGTAGAAATTAAGGTGGGTCAGTGGGAGCACAGGGCCACTGTGTGCGTGATGAGGGCAGAAGTTTGTAAAATGTGTAGAAAATGTGCCGCGTGACTATCAGAGGCCATGGGACTAGCCTAGTAAACAGAACGGATAGTCATTTAGCCCCAAACTTAGAAAGTGAATGAATTCTTTTGAAACAAATTGTCCCGGTTCTGCTAGACTTAAGATTTCTGAATGTCAGTCGTCATTTCATTTGCAAGTTCTACAGAGAAAACAAATCATACTTTAAAATAGATGCCTTGTATCTTAACTTTTAGTGAGTGCTGGCTGGACACAAGAAGAGAGGGTGGGCGTTGTGGATAAAAACAAAGAACTGTAACCTGGCTCCCAAGCAAGTCAAAATATATGCACACAAAAAGACCTAAAAATATCAAACAACTCATAAATAACAAACAAATGATACGGGCAGTAAATGTTGTGGGGACTGGAACACGTAACCAGACCATTGAAGACAGAATAGGACTGTAGCGTCGGAAGGAAGTACTGACTCTGGGTCCTTGGTGAGTGAGTCACTCTTGTCATGTCTTCCCGGCAGAGTTATAGAAAGGATTTGGCTAGAGTGGGTGGAAAGGAAAAGAAAGGGGAATGTGAAGAAGATTGCATATGGAATTGGGCTTTAGATGCTTATAAAGTTCAGGCATATGCCTACTCCCTTACAGTTCCAGTAGTTTTTAAAAGTGCTCTTTGATTTACCCTGAAAAACTGGGAGGGGAGGAGAATGTGGCAAATCCTTTTTTTTTTTTTAAAGATTTTAATTGGGGGATTGGGAGAGGGGAACAGCGTTGGGGAATCGGGGAAGGGGAACAGACAAGTTGCTGTCCTTTTGTTCTTCAGTCTAGCTGTGGAGGACATTGCTTCACTGGCCCATGTTGGCATTATCATTGCGCTCTTCCAGGGTGAGGCAGTCGCTCGCTCACCCGCCATTGGACGGCTGCTCACGGTGGCTCATGCCAGCTGCCAGCCACTCACGGTAGCTTCACAGCAGCCTGTTGCTGCCCCACTGCAGCCTACGCTGTCGCCGGGGACTCATGGCAGCCCAGCTCCAGGTCGAGCTGTTGTTCACCATCTTAGCTGTAGAGGGCGCAGCGTCACTGGCCCTCATGTGGGATCCGAACCGGGCCCTGCTGCCCAGAGCTGGCGTCCCAAGCCAACTCTTAACCAATGTGCCACTTGGCTGGCTCCAAATCCTTTTTTTTTTTTTTTAAGTTTATTTTTTTATTTGAAAAAATATCCAACATACATAAACAATAAGCCTCCTTTTATTCAGACTGCCATATTGGCTGCCAGAATTTTTTTAAATGTAGGAGGCGAGAAACCCCGAGGGAGCATTCTTTTCTAGTGATTAAAACAGATGATCTCGGCTTATCTATATTTTCTGTCAGCCATAGTCTCAGCGTATATAGCTTGTCAGATAATTTTTATACATTTTACTCAATTTACTAAGAAAATCAGAAGACATGTTATAGGGCTAAGTTGAATTAAAATTCATTAGATACATGTTTTTGCTTGCCCAAAAGCAAAGTAGCTTGGGAAAAAAAATCCCCAAACAAAATGACCAAGTCAAACCAGTTCTGCAAATATAGGAAACTAACTTGTCCAGCACCCTGCCCACTGCTTCACCCTGAAACTCAGTTCCCTTCTCTGCCCCAGGCAGCCTGGCTAGGAGCTAAAACTAGTCACCTCAGCGGAGAGGTGCCTCTGCTTCCCCAGAGGTGCCGATGTCTGTGCCTGAAACCCTGTGTTTTGTGTAAGATATTGGAAATGCAGAGCTGGAAAGCTATGTTTGCTTCATCAGCTTATTGAAAAGAAATGGGTCATTGTACATACAAAAGCATAATTTTCTTGGAACTACATCTCTAAATGAGATGTTTAGTTGGGGTGGGGGTGGCTTCTGTGGTATGCCTGTTAGAAGAATGGTCCAACTGTGCCTTTGGCCCCAGAGGGTTTTTTTCACTCTTGGGCAGTGAGTGACAGATGGTAAGACTCAGATGGGCAGAGATGCCTTTCTGGGGTACACTGGGAGGCTTGGTGAAGGGCAGGTGTGAAGACAGATCCCGAGCCTTAGGCACCTTCTTGGGGCAGACGCCTGCAGAAGGGAGCACCTCTGGAAGTTGAAGGTCTGGGTGGAAATAACGTTCCTTTACAAAGCCCATGCTTACATGCTTACAAGGGTATTTGTTCCCCATTTTGAAGACCTCTGGGCCAAACCACAGCCCTGGGTGGATTCGTATCTCACTGCTCCATGCCTCACCCTGTGGCTGTGGAGAACAGGGTCACAGGGACTACTTGTCTTGCTTTAAATGTATGATTGTTGACTTCACATGAGTCCTTCAGGCTACCCAATCATTTGACATTTTCTAGTCACCTTCCCATTTTGTGCTTGATTGCCCCTTTGGAAGGTGCTTCTCCCCAGGGTCTTAAATGACATCGAAGGTCTTAAATGTCTTCCTTTTGGGGAAGCCTTCACTGGCCAGCCTATCTAAACATCACTCCTTCTCTGATATTTCTTTTCACATTTTGTGCATTTTTTCCTCTTTGCGATTTACTCCTATATATATAATTGACTTATTTCTAATACCTTGGTGTTTTCTTTTTCTTCATCTCTCCCCTTAGTCCATTGGTTCTCAAATTTGAACTTGCATCAGAATCATTTGGAGGGCTTTAAACGCAGATTGTTGGGCCCCGGTCCAGTTTCTGACTTAGCAGGCCTTGGGTAGGACCTGGGAATTTGCAGTTTGAACAGTTTCCTGGAGATGCTGAACCTGCCAGTCAGGGGCTGCACTTGGAGAACCGCTGCACTAGGAGTGAGAACCAGACAATCTCCGTGAGGAGGACGCTGATTTTTATCGGTATTGTTCTCTTCTGTTTCACCAGCACCTGGAAGAATGTCAGGCATGTAGTGTGGATTCAGTAAATATTTTTTTGAATGAATGATGAGCTGTCTTGAAAAATAAGAGCTACAAGCAATATAAAATATAAACACCCTATCAAAAGAATGCTGACACCTATTTTATAAAGATATAGCTTGTTGCAAAGAACCTAAATTATGTTTTTTGCTCCATAGACAGAGAAAATGGAGGCTATGTAATTCATTTGTTTTTAGGAAACCAGCATTATTGAGATATAATTTGCATACTATTCAAATCAGTTCAGCTGCTTAAAATGTACAGTTCAGTGGTTTTTAGTATACGTATTTAGAGTTGTGCAACAATCACCATAATCAACTTTAGAGCATTTTAATTATCCCCCCCAAAAAGCCCTGTACCCATTAGCAGTCACTCCCCATTTTCCTTCTCCCCCAACCTCCTAGCCTGAAGCAACCGCTAATCTATTTTTTATCTCTATAGATTGGCCTGTTTTGGACAGTTCACATGAATGGAATTACAAAATATGTGGCTTTTGTGACTGGACTCTTTCTTTTATTTAGCCTATGTTTTTGAAGTTCATCCTTTTGTATCAATACTTCATTCTTCTTTATTGCCAAATAATATTCCATTATGTGGGTATACCATGTAATTTTGTTTATATTTTGTGTATCTAATTGTCAACTGATAGACGCTCTTTGGCTTTTATGAATCATGCTTCTGTGAGCATATCATGTGTGGGCTTTGTGTCGACATGTTTTCATGTCTTGTGAGTGTATATCTAGGAACGGAATTGTTTGCTCTTGTGGTAACTGTTTAACCTTTTGCTGCACTGCTGCTTTCCAGAGTGGCAGCACTGTTGCACGTTCCCACCAGCCAGTATATGGGGAGTGCAATTCCTGCTCTCACCAGTACTTGCATTATCTGTCTTTTTGGCTATAGCCATTCTAGTGGGTGTGTAGTCATAGTCCACTGTGGCTGTTATTTGCATTTCCCTGATGTCTAATTATGTTGAACATCTTTTAATGTGCTTATTCGCCATATGTATTTTTTCTTTGGAAAAATGTCTATTCGGATCCTTGGAGGCCTATGTAATTTTTTGCCCTTTTTGTTTAAGATGAAGAAAATTTGGGAGAACAACAATTGCGTTCCACTTTCTTTATTTGTGGAATAACTACAAATAGTAACCAATGCATTTCCACTTCTTTTCGTTATGCATTTTATGATACCTGCGGACATCCCTTGCACACTTCATTAAGGAGGCTGCTCAAATGACACCGTCTCAGAGGCCTTTCTTGATAATCTTGTCTAAAGAGGCACTTGTCTCTCCTCCCTTTCCAGTCTTACCCTGTTTTGTTTTTCTACAGTGTACTTGTCCCTCTCTCTGATATTACAATTAAGTTGTATTGGTTTGTCCTTCCCAGTGGAATGTAAGCTCAGTGAGGGTGGGGACACTGTTTTGTTCACTTGGTGTACTAGTAGGACTTCCGAAAATACTACTTAAAATTTAATGGTTACTAGAGGGTAAGGAAATGGTACTAGAAGAGGGTAAAGGGGGTCAAATATATGGTGATGGAAGGAAATTTGACTCTGGGTGGTGAACACACAATGCAATATACAGATGATGTATTATAGAATTTACACTTGGAACCTATATGATTTTATTAATCAGTGTCACCCCAATAAATTAAAAGAAAGTAGTGGTTGAAGGAATGACTGAATGAGTGAAAAGGCTGGGCTCTGCAGTCCACCACTTACTAGTTATGGGAGCTTTGGCAGGTTATTTAACTTTCCTCAGGTTAACATCTTCATCTGTAAAATCCGAGTTATAAGAGTTTCTGTGTTCTTGGGTATCTGTAGGATTAAACTGTGAATGTAAAGCACTTAACACTGCCAGGTACTCCAAAGGAAAAAAGCTAACTGTTAATTTTAATCTTTTCCCTTGCATTTAGCATGTTACATAGAGTAATGACTACAGTTTGCAGGAAATATGTGTGTTTACATTTTAAAAGATTCAAGTGAACAACAATTCTTTCTTTTTTCCTCTTTTCCCCAGGGGATGCAGAGAGCAACTAATGTCACCTATCAAGCTCATCATGTCAGCAGAAACAAGAGAGGCCAGGTGGTAGGGACCAGAGGTGGCTTTCGTGGTTGCACAGTTTGGCTAACAGGTACAGTCAGAGAGAGATAAACCGGTTTATTTCAAAAGCAGTGTCATAGACAGCCTTGAACTAAGAGTGGAGTGTCGTAACATGTAACTGACAAAGTTGCTTACTAACAACCTATTTCCTTTTGGTCATTGCGTTTGTTCTTTATAGAATTGCTGTTCAAATAAAGGGAAAAACCAGAAAGCATCTTAAAACTACCTTCTAGTTGATAAGTGCATTACATTCGGCAGACTTTTGCATGAAAATAAAACTTGGATTCTGCCTTCAAGAAGCTAATAATGTAAACTATATGAAGAGAAAGAATGAGTGATAAAGATAATCCACTTCTATATTTCAACTTTTGCCTCTCATTGGGTTCTCATGTTGGTTTTCCCAGAGTCTCTCTTTGGGCTTAGTCATACAAGGCTGAGGAGATGGTAAATTCGTGCAGATTTTGGAGGTAGATTTTAAAATGATGGACCTTTTTAATTCCAGGATTTGTATTTAAAATTTAAATACATTTCACCAAATTGCCTACTTAAATTTTATACCTATTTACTCTCCCACCAATAGTGTGGGAAGAGGGTCCATTTCCAGTGACTTTGTCAACACTAGATACAACCAGTCCTTAAAATTTTTGCTGATTGTTAAAAAACAACATTCCCATTTTGGTTTCAACATTAGACAGTTCTTTTTGTTTTTGTATGAAATAAGACAGCACTCTCTTCATTCTTAAGTCTAGATTGTTAAATTGTTACTTTTATATTGTCCAGGTTTATAACACTTAACATTCTGTTCTGAAATCTTGAATTTCAACAATTGTTTGTATTGGGATTCTGTAAGTAAATTGATTCACTACTCACCTCACCATCAGTTCTTTTATTATGGGGTACTCACTCATGAGCTCTTTCTTTGAATCAGGTTTTGCCTGTTTTTTTGTTGTTAAGTAGTTTTGGTAAGATGGTTTATTGCTATGTTCTGAGTTCCCTGAGTTTTTATTTTTGAGAGTGTCTGTTTATTATGACTCCTTGTCTGGGTAAAGTATATATTTGGTACATACTCTTTGTCTGAAATTCTTAAAACATTACTCCACTGTCTTCTGGTATTAAATGTGACGTGTAGGACTAATCCGAGTTTTCCTTTTTCATCTGGATGCCTGAAGAATGATTTCTTTTCCTGTATTTTCTTTTAGTTTTGCCTTTCTCGTTTAGGCCCTTCATCTATCTGTAGTTGATTTTTGTGTGTAGTGTGAGGGACGGATCCATTTTCTTTTTTTCCATATGGGTCATCAGTGGTCCCAAGAGCATATATTGATGCGGTATCCCTTGTGTCTGATTTGCAGTGCCAGCTGCCATATATCAGGTTTCCCCTTATGTGTGGGTTTGTTCCTGGGCTCTCTGATCTGTTCTATTGGTATACTTGTTGATTCTTCTATTATTAGCACACTTTTTTAATTATTGTATTTCTATAAGTCTTGAAATTCAGTGCAGTAAGCCCTCTTACCTTATTGTTCATTAGAAATCTCTCTCTCTCTCTCTCTCTCTCTCTCTCTCTCTCTCTCTCTCTCTCTCTCTTTGCCTCTTTGCATTATTGTATAAATTCGTAAATCAGTTTAACCAATTTCCCCAAAACCCTGTTAGGATTTAGTATGGGATTACATTATATGTACAGGTCAATTTCGGGGAAAATTGATCATTAGAGTACTGGATATAGGATACTCCTTTTCTTAAACATGGTATATTCTATTTATTTTACCATTAACAATGCTTATAAATATTGTTTATCAGATTTTTTGGTACTTATTTTATGGTCCTGTATGTATTCAGTTTTCATAAATCTGTATTTCAAAAGAACGTATGTTTCCCTGATGTGTACAATATTTTATATATGTTCATTAGATCAAGCTTGTTAGTTATGTTGTTAAATCTTCTATAGCCTTCGTTGATTTTTTTTGATGATGTTGGAAATGGAAGTCAAGATTTCTTTCTTTTTCTTGCAATTCGGTAGCTTAACTAGGATCTGTCAAGGTATTGAGTGGTTTGTATGCCATTTTCCTGGACCATAGTTTGCTTTTCCTCAGATTTTATTTGAGACAAATTTTCTTGTTTTATATTTTTACATTGGTTTGTATATTAGCGTCCCAGGACTGCTGAAACAAATCACTACAGACTGTGTGGCTTCAGACAACAGAAATTTTTTCTCTCGTAGTTCTGGAGGCCCGAAGTCTGAGGCAGGGTGTTGGCAGAGTGGGTGCCTTCTCTGCGCCCTGAGGGAGAAGCTGTTCGGGCCCCTCTCCTTGCTTGTGGAAGTGGCTGCGAATCCTGGGAGTTCTTGAGTAACAGATGCATCACTTTCTCTCTGCCTGTCTTCCCAATCGTGTCTTCATGTGGCTGCCTTATAAAGACACCAATCATTGGATTTAGGGTCCACCCTCATCCTGTATGACCTCATTTTAATTTAATTGCATCCACAAAGACCCTGTTTCCAAATAAATTCACATTCTGAGGTTCCATGTAGATATGAATTCTGGGGAGATGCTGTTCAACCCAGTACAGCTGGTTTCTCTTCTTCAGGAATACCATATCTTAGTTTTGGGTTGTCTATATTGTATTTTATAAAGATTTTCTCTAACTGCTTTAATTTCTTCCCATTTTGGTTCATGTTCACTGTAATCATTTCAGTGAAAACTTCTATATCAGTAATTCAATTTCAGCAATGTCAATTCTTACCATTTCATATTAAATGTATACATAAAAATATATGTACATGTGTATACATAGACACTTTTATTATAATTTAGGTTGTCTTTGATGTATAACAAGTTTAGATTTTTAGGTTTTAGATTTTTATTTTTCTGATACTTTTTGCTCAACTGGTAGTTAAAAATAACAACAAAATACCTGAGAACAACCCGCTGCTCCCCAGCCTCCATCTCTGTTTCAGTATTATTGCTGTCTAACGAATTACCCAAAACCTACTGGTGTAAAACAACCATTTTAACTTGCTTACCATTTTGTGGTAAGGAGTTCAGAAGGGTTCAGCAGAGCAGTTTGCACTTAAGTCTTGCTTGGTTGGAGTCACGCTGGTGTAGGCTGCAGTCGTCAGAGGACTCAGCAAGGCCGGGCGTCTGCCATGACACGCTCAGCCGATGATGCCCGTCACCTGGGAGGGCAGCTGGCTGAGGCTATTGACGGGAACACCTACTTGTGATCTCAGGGGATTTAATGGTAGGCTTCTCCCAAATTAAGTGTCCAAAGAGAAGCTGCAAAGCTTTTTCTGATCCAGTCTGGGAAGTCACCGATTGTCATTTTCACTACATTCTTTTGGCCACAAGTGAGTGCTAAGGCCAGCCCAGCAGGGAATTAGCAAAACCTCCTGATGTGCCGGCAGCAGTGTCACATTGTAGAAAAACTTGCAGGAAGGCAATGTCTAGTGTGGCCATCTTTGGAAACTATAATCGACTATACTCATATTAATGTAAGATTTTAATGTGTAAAGCAGCTAACACTGTATTGATCCTCAACCTGTCCTCTTTTCATTTTTTTTCAGTTAACCTTCCACCTTGACTTCTTTGAAGATCATCAGTCCATTAGACTTCTATACTTTTTCTCTTGCCTCATAATTGCTTTAGTTAGTTCATTCTTTTTTTTTTTTTTTTTTTTTTAGCTGAGCCATCCTGCTACCTGTTGGCAGCTCAGCGGCTGCTCAGCTCGGGCTGGACTCGAACTGCTGT